TGCAGTTGCTTTATGGTTGAGGAAAGAATTTTCATCAGCTATAATTCTCATTTTTTTTCCTTCTAGATAGTACTGTTTGTAGCTATTTTTCTTCCCTATTCTGCTCATTTTGAAAGGTATTCTTTTCCTTGACTTGCAAAAACGGTTTGATATAGGCAAAGATGAGAGGCTTCTGAATCAAGAGTGTTTTCTTCTGTTGGAACAGTGAAAAACTATTTCTCAGAGAGTTCATATTTGTGAGATGGGAGTGATTTGCAATCTCATTTGATTCTATAATTTTATTTTTCTAAGATCCTTGCTTCCCTCCTTCTTCCATTTTACCATCAAGCCTCCAGGAGACATTTCCCCCTCTCTGATACGGTGCCTTCCTCAAGCAGCCTCCTTCCATCTCATGAACTTTGAAGCCTCCCCGTGACGCCCCAGTGGGCAGCACCAGAGATGGACTGGTGTGATGTATCGGTATTCCCACCACTGGGGGGGGGGGGGTCCGTTTTTCCCCGGACACCGCTACCTCTAGGCCCCCACTGCCCTGGCTTTCTAACATGGTTTCCACCTGACTCAGCCTTCACAGGAATGCTGGTGCTGGCTCTAATATCAGATGCTTGCTTCTCTGTTTGCACATAAGCTGAACTTTTTACTGGGTCTCACAGTTACGCTGTAGCTGCAGGTTACAGGGAAGATAATGAAAGAGATTCAGATTCAGGCAGCAACTAAGATTCCTTGGAAAGCCAGAAGCTCAAGTACTTCCCCTTAAATATGAACACACAAGCAAGAATGGTCAGACCTGGGAGGAAAACGTCTAATCTGACAAAAAATTAAAACAAAATTTTTTAAAAAAGATAAATACTGTATCTACTAAATGGAACAGGTTTTCATATATTTTAAAAATTTAGAGAACAAAAAAGAGCTCTTAAAAATTAAAAATGTGACAGCACATGTGAAACCCTTGGAGAACTGGAAATGAGATGTCTTAAAAGCAAAGGACAAAGGCACGCAGTAGTAGCCGACAGTGACAGGCTCACACCTGAGGTGGACTGTTTGGACGACAGTTCAGTTCAGTCAGTCAGTCATGTCCGACTTCACGACCCTATGAACTGCAGCACACCAGGCTTCCCTGTCCCTGTCTGGACAATAGTTCAGGAAGAGCAGAGAAGATGGAGGGGAGAAATAATTTAAGAAAATGTCCCCAAATATAGGGCATGAGTTTACAGTTTGCATGCCTCTCACAGTGGCTGAGAATAGGCATGCTGTGTCACACAGCCCTGGGGACAGGAAGTTATTCTGTGAGTGTCCACATAACAAAAAGCAGAGTACGTGTAAGGAGTCAGAAATAGGAATGGCTTCAGATTTCTCAGCATCCACACTGCAACTTAGAACCGAGGCAATGCCTTCAAAATTCTGAAGGATAATTATTTCCGAGCTAGGTTTCTAAATTCAGGCAAATTACCCATTAAATGTGAGAGTTAAAGAAAATTTACCTCCCAGGTACTCTTTCACAGAAAGTACTGAAGGACATGCTACACCAGCTTGAGGAAGTGAGCCAAGAGAGAAGACACAGGCCCCAGGAAGCAAAGACCCCACAGAAAGGAGTGCTAGGACCTCCAAACAACATGGGAGGGGGTCAGTGGAGACAGCTGTGCTCCGGGCAGACAGCGCGACCACACTAGGTTCCTGCAGGTTGGAGGCCTTGGGGGTTTGAGACAGAAGACCAAGCAAGACATTAAGAAAAAAGTAAACTATAAAAGTCATCATGATTTATTCTACACCTCATCTCTGAATAGCACAAAGAGTCTTTTTTTCCTTTTGCTTTGGCTGTGTCACATAGCATGTGGGATCTAGTTCCTAGACCAGGAATGGAACTCTTTCCCCCTGCAGTGGAAGGACAGAGTCTTAATGACTGGACCACCAGGGAAGGCTCACCAGGGATGTCCCAGACAGTCTCTAACTCTTCCTGTGATCTAAAGTTACGAGACAGTATGTAAGGGCTCAGGGAGGCATGGTAGAGGCAGAGGAGGAGGGGTGGAGAGACACCTGTATGCTTACCTCCCATGTAGGGATGTTCAGACATAATGAAGAATCTAGAGTGTGGCAATGGAACTGCATTATTTAGAACTGGGTGCAACTGGAGGAGGAAATGGCAACCCACTCCAGTGTTCTCGCCTGAAAACTCCCACGGACAGAGCAGCCTGGTGGGCTGCAGTCCAAGTGGTCACCAGAGGCAGACACCACTGAGTGGCTCAGCACAGCAATTGAGCACATACCCCAAAAATCACGTACGAGTTAAAACCTTTTCTCATGGGAAGAACACAAGCGGCCATTTTTCTTACCAAGCCTCACATAAAACAAGCTGACTTACCTACAAGTGCATTTGTAACTTTGACTTAAAAAAAACTGTAACGCTATTTTATAGAAGACCATAGAAATAAAACAATTTTGGCAGAAAAAGACCTAATCTCAATAAATATAGACTTCATCCAGTAACTCCTTATCCAGTAACCTCTATAGCACCTATTCAGAGCTAAGAAATGATCCATTTGATAAGAAGCTGCCTGCAACTGTTCAGGCCCTCTCTGTCTTATGACCTGGTTTATATTTAAGTGTTTTCTACTTATAAAACTCCTCCCAGCTCATGAGGCCAGGCCCCTTATACGTATCATTAGTCCAATGGTGTGTCCTTGAGCACTGCCATGTTCCAGGTAAGATTTACTTTCTGGTGATCATGAAAAAGCAAGAGAGTTCCAGAGAAACATCTATTTCTGCTTTATTGACTATGCCAAAGCCTTTGACTGTGTGGATCATAATAAACTGTGGAAAATTCTGAAAGAGATGGGAATACCAGACCACCTGACCTGCCTCTTGAGAAACCTGTATGCAGGTCAGGAAGCAACAGTTAGAACTGGACATGGAACAACAGACTGGTTCCAAATAGGAAAAGGAGTACGTCAAGGCTGTATATTGTCACCCTGCTTATTTAACTTATATGCAGAGTACATCATGAGAAACGCTGGGCTGGAAGAAGCACAAGCTGGAATCAAGATTGCCGGGAGAAATATCAATAACCTCAGATATGCAGATGACACCACCCTTATGGCAGAAAGTGAAGAAGAACTAAAGAGCCTCTTGATGAAAGTGAAAGAGGAGAGTGAAAAAGTTGGCTTAAAGCTCAACATTCAGAAAACTAAGATCATGGCATCTGGTCCCATCACTTCATGGCAAATAGATGGGGAAACAGTGGAAACAGTGACAGACTTTTATTTTTTGGGACTCCAAAATCACTGCAGATGGTGACTGCAGCCATGAAATTAAAACACGCTTACTCCTTGGAAGGAAAGTTATGACCAACCTAGATAGCATATTAAAAAGCAGAGACATTACTTTGTCAACAAAGATCTGTCTAGTCAAGGCTGTGGTTTTTCCAGTGATCATGTATGGATGTGAGAGTTGGACTGTGAAGAAAGCTGAGTGCCGAAGAATTGATGCTTTTGAACTGTGGTGTTGGAGAAGACTCTTGAGAGTCCCTTGGACTGCAAGGAGGTCCAACAAGTCCATCCTAAAGGAGATCAGTCCTGGGTGTTCATTGGAAGGACTGATGCTGAAGCTGAAACTCCAATACTTTGGCCACCTGATGTGAAGAGCTGACTCATTGGAAAAGACCCTGATGCTGGGAAAGATTGAGGGCAGGAGGAGAAGGGGATGACAGAGTATGAGATGGTCGGATGGCATCACCGACTCAATGAACATGGGTTTGGGTGGACTCCGGGAGTTGGTGATGGACAGGGAAGCCTGGTGTGCTGCGGTTCACAGGGTCGCAAAGAGGTCAGACACGACTGAACTGAACTGATCATGAAAAGACTCTGCCTTAAAATCAACAGCAGAATCTGGGGACTGCATTCTTGACATTAAGATGCCTAAGAGCCTATTCCCGAAGCAGTGGAAACTAGGTACTTCTAAAAACCCAGGTACAATGATTAAATATATGGCATAAATACATATAATTGCCATCCATAACCAAGATAGAGCTCACGTTCTCAGACCTTCTGCATCTTGGGAATACTCTGTTTCACTTGGGTCACGCAAAGCTCTTTCTGTAAGACTGGAGCCACTGTGCTTATTTTCAGATGAAAAAGGCTCCGAAGGTCACACAATTCAGTGGTTGCGTCAGAACTAAACAGATCTGTCAATTTTGTCTGTGCTCTTTTTGCCACAATACCAAAAATAATCAGTTTTCATCCCTAACTCACACTGGCCCTCCCCTTTAATCCATTCAGCTATATTTCAGTAGAATTTTACAAATGCCCTGAGTGAAAGTTGCTAAGTTGTGTCTGACTCTGTGTGACCCCATGGACTTCTTCAGGCCAGAATACTGGAGTGGGTAGCCCTTCCCTTCTCCAGCAGATCTTCCCGATCCAGGAATCGAACCGGGGTCTCCTGCATTGCAGGCGGATTCTTTACCAACTAAGCTAAGAGGGAAGCCCTAAGATAGGTTGAAATATAACAAAAACATCACACCAAAGAATATTTTAAATAAGAGGTAAGTGAATATGTATATTGACCTCATGCTGTAAAGAGCTCTTTAGTTCATGGCCACACCAATTATACTTTTCTGCATATATACACACAGGATACCTGTAACAGTTAGAGATAAACCTCATGGCCCTTCGTTTCTGCAGCAGAGGGGCCACACAGACAGGCTCGACAGTGTGAGTATTAAGAGTAATTTTAAAAAATCGTATTAAAAGGGCAAGAACCTAAATGTTGAGAATACAAATACAGAGCTCCTGGATCCCATGGACAATCCAGCTACTCCCAGGATTGCTAAAATTATTGCTAAAATTGTCACTCCATGTTTGCTGTTCTCTTTCCCTTGTTATCATTTATAAAAAGTAGTACCAAATGCTCTGGACTAAGCCAGAGATGAGTGAGAGAAAAGCACATTATCTGATGGAGGAGCCCATTAAGAAAGTCAGTGTATGATAAAGGATCAAAAAACAACAAGAGACAGGTGGAAATAAGCATAATTTTTTCAAGAACATTTATACATCTGTTTAATTAGATTAGCTTTACAAGCATTTTGAGAGCTTTTTCATAATGAAACACTGCTTTTCAAATTACATGACTTTATAGTCTATCTGTATGTAAATCCTGAAATTCTTTGCCTGCTGTTGATAAAGGTCTGTGTTTTACAGCTGGTTAATATGTTGAATAAAAACAGCATTAGAAGCTTTATCTTTTACCAGGATTAAACACATATAGGCCACAAACAGTTTTAAATTTTGTTTTATATAGAGTCCTGCTTGGTGACAAGTTAACAGTCCCACTAACATGAAAAGAACAGATTTTAAATGGATATTGAAGAAATGGCTATCCTGATTTCTCCATCCTTTCACAACAATCTCCAAGAAATTATAAACTTTTCCAAAAACAAACAAACAAAAAAAACCCCACAACAAAATTTAAAACCTGTCAGGCAAGCACAACCCACAGACAGTAGAATCTGACACTTTGCACAACTGCAGAGATACATATCTGAATGACACAGGGGCTCCCAGATTAAAAGGCTGTTATTGTACACCTTGACGAACAAACCTCCCACCAACATCATACAATTTCTACTCAACCTAAAAATAATAGCGCTTTTGAGTTGTGGCCTCAGGCAGTGCAGTGCACTGCAGACCAGGCTGGGGCGCGAGGGGAGAGCAGGGGCAGAGGCACTTACTGTTAAGATGTTGCATTGTACTAACATTATCTGGGACTAGGAAAGGAAGTGGAACAAAACTGCAGTGGGTGAGGAAAACCAACAATCAACTACAATTGTCTCCTGCAAGTTCTCCAAAGTGAGATCACAATACTGAATATTTAATCCCACCCTAAATCCATGCTGCCAGTTCACTAAACTTTTTTTCATGTTTTACATGAACAGTAGCAATCTTTTAATAAAAATTACTGAGCTTTCCATAGAAAAGGTCTCTAATTGAATACAAACTATACAGATGCTAAAACTGTCATAGGTTGAAATATACAGAAACATTTCTGTACACTCACATTATTTTGGCAAAGAAGATCAAGGACAGAGATAGAAAACTGAAGTGGGCAAGGTCTTACACCCATAATTCATGCAAAATACAGATACCACCTTTTGGGCTTTGCTAAACAGCCTAGGAAACTGAAGTCTAAGATATCCATCCTAATTCAGGTGTTAAATAACTCAAGTCTGGGAGGACTTACATGATTTTGTAGGATTCCCTCTTTTTTCTGAAAAGTAAAAAAGACGACTCAGAAGTATCTGGTTTTTTGCTTCGTGCTTTGATTTTTAAGCTGAACATCCATCTTTCAGTACTAACGGACAGCACCGCCTCTTGGGAGTGCATCAGCAGTGGCCTGAGGAGTCACTGATGTCAAGTCTGTAATAACACCGTTCGGTCTGGAGGCACAGTCTCCCCCTGACGCTACCTAACAGGAATGAGGTTCTGATCTGCTGGCCAGATGGGCACAGAAGTAGGAAGAAAAGAGCAAAACTCAATCAACCTGACGGGAAGCAAAAGGAAAGTCTAGGAAAAGGGACAGTATGTTCTACATCTACAGGATGTACCTGAAAGCAGAAGAAAGCCCTTTATCTTGGGAACTTGATGCTGAGAAGGATAACCTCAAGTTCATTTAGTGCCAGTCACTGTAGTTTTTTTTTTTTTTTTAATGTAACTTAAAAGATAAAACCTTTTTACTGTGTATTTTTCTTATAAAACATGAACTAAAAGTTACTGGTAGTAAATGTAAAGTAAACAGTGACAGTTTTCACTATTAACAATGTCAAAAAAAACAACAGCAGCAGTCTTTTAAGAGTTCAAATTAGTGTAAGGACTACAAAACAATCTGATTTTTCAGTTGGTGATTAAAGTGCTCCTTTTCTTATTTTAAGTAAAAACAAAATTAAGCATTAGTCACTGGCAACAATCATTTTAAGAGGCTTTTCAGGGCAAAATTTAATAGTACGAAGAGGTTTACAAAAATAGATTGATGCTATTTTGGGAAATACTGTAATTTTTTCTCAATTCAGTTTTGATAAATTGTACCTGATTATACAAAAATTATTTCAAATTCAAACTTGACTATATAAAAAAGGGAGAGATGAAATGAATTCAGCTAGATGACAGATCTGGCAAAATATAAGAATGAAAACAATTCTGCCTAGGGCACTTATTTCATGTCCAGATGTAAACACCACTTTCAGTTGATAACTTACATTCCTCCCATCACAGGTTTGGAGTCAATCATGCAGTACAGAGCTACACAGTCAAAATCTCTGTTTTGACTCAACACAAAAAAGTTGTTTCTGTTTCCTTAAACTGCCAACTGGTTGTCTATTTTTCTTTATCCCATTTATTTGTATTCACAAGTTAACAAGTAGCGTCAATAATTATTGTAGGTGAAGTGGGGTATTGCTGGATGAAAGGCTCTATAAGACGTCTTTACTGATCGAATCAGAAGGTTTATTGAGTTCAACCCTCACACCTTTTTCACCTGCAAGGTAAAAAAAAAAAAAAAATTCATTAAGTACCAGAGAGCTTCTGTTCCTACATCCCTCTGAGCTGCTAACAGTGTGCGCAGCATTTCAACTTGCAAACACACATCATGTGCGAGCGATCACACTCAGACTCCCAAAAGTCACCCTCAGGGCTGATTATGCTAAGTGCAGGGACTCTGAGCTAGTAAACCTTCCAAGTGGAAAACCACTCTCTACAGAGGGATAATGACTTCTGTCTCCTTTTTTTTTTTGAAAAACAAACTGAATTGCTATAAAATATTAATAGCAGTATGTTCAGCCTCACTGAAAGCACACTACTAGGCTTCTGTCACAAACAATGACTGAAAATAAACAGAAACTTGTGAATGTTCAATTTTTATAGTTTTACAGAAGGCTGATGTGGGATTATCCATGGCTGGTGACAGGACAGGGAGTCAAATCAGTAATGTGAATTGGAGCAGATCTGTGAGGTACAAAGTGGGGTTAAAGAAAAGACAGGTCAGCAGTCCATCTGCTGAAAACCTCAAGCCCAGCTATTTCAGGAGTGTGTCCACAAGTGGGGGTGACTGGACACCACTTGCAGATATGGACTCTGCATGCCTGTCAGATTTACTGATTTCAGCATCTCCTTTGTGATAATTTTCTTCATATCCACATTTAACATGCGAGACCTGGATTATTCTCCAGGGCATGTACATCTAAAGAGGAAAGGATGTTACCTTTCTTCCATGGGGAGAGTGAGAAGAAGCCTATGACTGACAAGGATAATCACAGAAAACTCAGCTTGCTCGAACCATTTCCCCAGATTGCTTTGTCTCAAACTTGCCTCACCTTTGGGCAATTTTGATGGTTAAAGGTAACAATGAAGGTCACTTAAGAGCAGTCCTCTTCTAAATAGGGGGATTAAGAATCTGACAAAAACAATGGAAAGCACCGCCTGGCTTGGGGTCTCTTCCTTCTAGTGTACCCAGGCCCCAAATGTTTACCTGTTAGATATTTTACTTTAGCTCGCGCTCTCTCATCTGCATCAAAATACCAAACAGTTATTGCGTACCTAAAAGAAAATTTAGAACAGGGTAAGAATGATCACACTGAGAGAAAAAAAGGGAATGCTGTTGCAAAGGTCTAGTAAAACTCATCATGGCACAACAATACCTAACTTGGAATAACATCAGGTGATACATGGGCACAGTAACAACCCACTTATCCAAGAACCCCAATGGTCAACAGCATAACATAGAGCCAGGAGTAGCTCAAATTAACACTGCAGAGTTTGTGACTTTTTACGATTTTCTTAATACCTGCATAACCTATTTGATTATCTGTTTTGCAAGCCTATAGCAGATCAGAAACTGACACCAAGAAGGAAAGAGTGGCTGTTACAAAAAAAGTATGTTATCACTAGCGTTCCAAAAGAAAAGAAGAGCAACAGGAGGATGCCAGACCAAAGGCCTGTAGCGCATGGGAGGGTGGGCAGTCTCAGCCACATCTGAGGATGCCACTACACTCAGAACAACAAAGAATCATGACAGGCGTTTATCATTTTACAACCTGGAGTCAAGAAAGTTCACTCATGTGAAGAATTTTTTAGGATTTTAATCAAAACAATTATACTATGTCTTGTTTCATTTTTCTGAAAATTTCAGTCATTTGGAACACCTCATTTCACAAATGAATGAAGACACTCTCATTTATTAAAGACCACAAAGCACTTAGTTACACCTTTTGGTACTAAAAATGCAGAAAATCTGCAAACACCACAGGGAGTGAAAGCATGTTAGAAAGGATCAGTTTCTTAGAAGAATGCAGCAGTCAGTAAAGTGTCCTGCAGATTCTGGCCGGTGTTCAGTGGGGAAAAGCAACACTGATCAAATGATGAACCAGCAAACTGTCTGCAGTCAAGAGTCAAAGGCAGAGCAGAGGCAGAGCCTGAGAGTCTGGACAGTCAGGGAGGTTGGAAAGGGACAGAGCTGAGATCAAGGTGTGGCCTCCCGGCTCCAGAGCTCCAGCCCCTATCCTATCACACAGGTGGCCTGGCACTGGGGAAGGTGTACAAATATTCTTCTCTATCTTTTGCACCTGCCCCAAACTCTTAGTTTCTTAGTGACCAGAGTTCAGCAATCTGGATCAGGTCCCTGCACTGTCCAAGGCCTTCCCAGAAGACAGCTGTAAACCACCACACATCACTCTGTTTCTCCTGCCTCATCCCCTGTCTGTTTAGATTCCTCCTCCACATATCTGTCTCTGCTCTGACTCCACAGCCTCGCCCTTTCCCCCCAGCCTTGCCAACACTGTCTACTCCTTGTTTCTCCTCACTCCAGGCCCAGCGGCTACAGTTGGACCAACTGATTCCAATGTAAGACCACTTTCTCCCTCCTCCAAGCTCCTGGAGCAACTCATAACTGCATGGCATCTATTCATTACCTAAAATGTTCATTCTATCTCCACTGAGAAAGGACACAATCACATCACATTCAAGACTCAATACAAAGGAAGATCAATGAAGCAGTTTCGAGTTCAGAAACGATTTTTAAGCAGCATTCAGGGCTGAGATGGGCACTGGGGTGATGGGAGGAGAGAGGATTTAGGACAGTCTGTGACGTGATGGGATCCTCAGGTTCCACCCAGTAGTTCTTACAGCCTCAAGTCACACCGCTCGGCCTGCTACTCACTAGGATGCATAAGGGCTGAGGCAACACGGCTCAGAAAGAAGGAAGGAGGAAGAGGTGACCAAACCTTCACAGTCTGAACCTCATGAAATGATACATCACTGTCAAGAGCCAGCTCTTCTCCTTGTGTTTCTCAGGGATCTCACCAGATCTAAGCCACTTTGTAACAGTAATTCACTATCATAATGTCCCAAATCCCTTCTATAATGAAAAACAGGTATTTAAAAAGTAGAGCTTTTTTTTTTTAAACAAGTATTTATTTTGCTAACAATGTCTGTAACATCTTTCATTTTAATAGCCTACACATTTTAATTAGGTCATGGTAAATGGTAAAAAAGACTTTTAAGAGTACAGTAAAAAATAGGTTTAGAAAATGAAACCTTGTAGAAATGAGTATAAAGCAGAAAATGTGAACAACATTATAAGCCTAACAGATACTGTCTATTAAAGCAGAAGGGTAGTTTTTTAACACACCTTTTCTCTACTTCTCTTTGCTCTATTCTTTTTTCTCTACACATCCACTCTCTGGTGATGTCTTTTTCTACCCTGTATCCTTTTTCCATACCATCCCTCTGTCCCCCACTTCTGCTGGACCCCCTTTAACAAAGCCGCCCTTTCCCTTGTCTAGCTAGTCCTTATTCCCCACGTGAACACTCTCACGAGGTCTGAGAATGGATACTAGTGAAGAGATGCACAGACCAAGCAGACAGGCCTGGGAAGATGAGAACCCTGAGCCTCCCTGTCTCCCCTAGACAAGGAGGGGGTGCACAGAGACTTGCAGACATTTGGGACTAACTCTGAACACCCTTATAAAATCAGATTAAACGTCATAAGCAAAGCCTTATGATAAAGGTAACTGAAGGACAGCAAGATACTCATTAGAAAATTCACGTTTATGCTATCAAGCCCCTCCTATCTTACTATGCTGTTTACCAATTTTTTTTTTCTTAAAAGGAATACTACCTTGTAGCATATGCTGGTTGTACTTCATGAGGGTTGCGACGGTCAGACCAGAAAAACAGCAGTCTATCAAATTTGGGTTCAATGTCAGCAAACTGGGCTTTGCCTTCTGGAAAAATTCGAAGTATACCTCCACTTACCTAGGAAAGGAGCCAAATATGTAAATATGAGCAACCAAGAATGAGACAAAATTAAATTTAGGGGGAAAAGACCACTTCAGTAAATCAAGTCTTAACTGAATTGTTCACATAATATCTCGATTAACAATGTCTGGAATTGAGGTTTCAAGTACAAGCAGAGATAGAAGGAAAAATTCATTCCTTGTTTTAGGGAATTTTGTAAATATCTGATGAAACAGATGAACAGTCTCTAAACTCAAAAGTCTTAAAATGACACCTAAAAGTCTGAACAACTAGTAAGCATTCCTTATTTATGTATGGTGATGACTTGCTTCACCTACTCTTAAAAATGTATCCATTTCAAATCATTCTGATGAAAATTACTACAAATGATTAACTGTGTCAAAGAAACAGTTCATCTCATATTTTAAAAGTTCAACAGATAATAGAGCAGTCTTATTTAAGGAATCCAATACAGCAGGGAAAAGTGTCACTTATGGTCAGCACTAGAAACTGTAGCTTGCCAGCTTGGGCCTACATAACTGAACTCGCCCACAGAGGGCCACTACCATTTACCCCAGTAGGTGTCTGTCTCTATCGGAGACCAGAGGGACTCCCCATGCATTCTGAAACTGATTGTTCTGGGACCTGCTGTTGGCCCTGGGTGCAAAGTAGGGAACAATTCAGACAGACGTCCTTGTGGTGATTATAATCTGGGTGGGAGTAAAGCAAGGTATCCCCCACCCAACTGATTAACTCTTTACCCTTGAAAAACTAAACTCCCAACAGGCAGACTCCTGAATTGAAAGGAATGTTGATACTTGATCAAGACAGCATGGAGGCTGAGCCTATTCCTTGGTTCCAGGACAGTCAGAGAAGCTGTCCACCAGGCTCACAGTCAGGTGAGCTAGAGTCAAGCTACTTGGTGCCCTTGCCCACCGTCCTCAGGTTCGAGCGTTGCCCCAGGAGGTTCCCAGGACATCTGAAGGGGGTCTAGACTGTGACAGGCAGCGTAGCTTCTTTTCTCCTCCCGCTTCTCTCTGTCCTTCCCTTGGAGTCAGTGGGAACAGAGGTAAGTTTCAAAGCTTCTACCTTCCTCTGGGAAGCCTTCCCTGACCCCTGCGTCAGGCAGTCTTCCTGTGCGTTCCCACAGCAGTCTGCCCCACACTTGGTATAACCAGCGCTAACCGTCAGTCCGCTTGGCCTGCACCCTCCCCTGGAGCCACGGTCGGTGAGGGAGAGCTCCATTTCTGCTCAATTTCCAGCACCCAGAACACCCTCTGGTACAGTGTACTTATTCAGAGCAAAATCTTGCAAGGAAAGTTTTCAGTTTTACATATAAAGGCACTGAAGACTTTTTTCTGCTTATGTACTAATTTAAAAACTATATATTGATGACCTTAGGTCATATCAAAATTAAAGAATCAGCCTAGAAAGAACCTAGACTCTAACAAAATGTGGAAGAGTTGATCAAACATATTTCTAATTTTCTAGATATTCACAAAATGTGAAAAAAAAAGTTAAGTTTTAACTAAATTTACACCAGTTGTTTTGTGTGTTGAGTTCAAGGTGAATTAACAATTTCTCGATTCCAAACTTCGAAAGTTTTAACAAAACACAAAGTTTGTTGACATACTGCCCCAAAATATACTAGCAATAAAACTTACCTCCATTTTGAACTTGCAGTAGGACAGAGGAAATTCTTTCTTTTCAAAAAAACATTTTTTAACTGCTTGTCACACTTCTATAACAATATTCTTGCATTTGCTACTTGCTCTTTAAAAAAAAACGCATTCGTGTTGGCTGTGCTGGGTCTTGGCTTTCTCCAGCTGTGGAGAGTGGGGGCTACTCTCTAGTTTGGAGCATGGGCTTCTCATGACGGCGGCTCCTCTTGCAGACTACAGGCTCTAGGGCACACGAGCTCAGTAGTTGTGGCTCCCCAGCTCCAGGGGACAGGCTCAGTGGTTGTGACACATGGGCTTAGCTGCTCCACAGCACGTGAGATCTTCCTAGACCAGGGACTGAACCTGTGCCTCCTGCACTAGCAGGCGGATTCGTTACCACTGAGCCACAGGGCCCTGCTGCTGCTGCTAAGTCGCTTCAGTCGTGTCCGACTCTGCGACCCCACAGACGGGAGCGCATCAGGCTCCTCCGTCCATCGGATTTTCCAGGCAAGAGTACTGGAGGGGGTGCCACTGCCTTCTCCGAAAGCCCTGTTACTTGTTCTTTATTCATTTTATTGAGGCATAGTTGATTGACAATATTGTGATAGTTTCAGAGGTACAGCAAAGTGATTTGGTTATACATATATATGTATTTTCCTATATTCTTTTTTGAAAATTATCTTCTACTATAGTTTATTATAAGATATTGGATACAGTTTCCTCTACCAACAGTAAATCCTTTCTTATATATGGTAGTGTATACCTCTTAATCTCATCCTCCCAATTTATCCCTCCCCACCTTCCCCTTTGTTAACCATAAGTTTGTTTTCTATGTCTGAACCTATTTCTAAATATTTTGTAAATAAGTTCACTTGTAGTATTTTTAGATTGTACACATAAGTCATACATATAGTATTTGCAATTCTCTTCTGACTTATTCTGTTTAGCATGATAATCTCTAGGACCATCCATGTTGCTGCAGATGGCATTTTCATTTTTTATGGCTGAATAATATTCCCTCATAAGGAATTCTTTATCCATTCATCTGTTGATAGATGCTTAGCTTGCTTCCATGTCTTGGCTACTGCAAACAGTGTTGCTATGAACATTGGGGGTGCATGTATCTTTTTGAATTAGAGCTTTCATCTTTTTTGGACATATGCCCAGATGTGGGATTGCTGGGTCATATGGTGGTTTTATTCCTAGTTTTTTAAGGAGTCTCCACACCATCTTCCATAGTAGCTGTATCAATTTACATTCCCACTAACAGTGTAGGAGTGTTCCCTTTTCTCCATACCCTCTCCAGCATTTATTATTTGTAGACTTTTTGATGATGGCCATTCTGACCATTTTGTGAAGTTACCTCATTGTACTTTTGATTTGCATTTCTCTAATAAATAGTTAATGTTGAGCATTTTTTCACTCGTCTATTGGCCATCTGAATGTCTTCTTTGGAGAAATGCCTATTTAGGTTTTCTGCCATTTTCTGACTGGGTTTTTGTTGTTGTTATTGAATTATATGAACTGTTTGTGTATCTGGAAATTAAGCCTTTGTCAGTCACAGTGTTTGCAAATATTTTCTCCCAGTCCATAGGTTGTATTTTTGTTTAAGATTGATTAGGTCGTATTTATCTTTGCTTCTGTTTCTATTGCCTTGGGAGACTGACCTAAGAAGACACTGGTACAATTTATGTCGGAGAATGTCTGCCTGTGTTCTCTTCTGAAAGTTTCATGGTGTCATGCTTCATATTTAACTCTTTAAGCCATTTTGGGCTTATTTTTGTGTATAGTGTTAAGGAGTGTTCTATGTGTGTGTGTGTGTGTGTGTGTGTGTGTGTGTGTGTATAAATATATAAAAAATATAATAACTTCAAAGATTTACATACATCTGTCCAGCTTTCTTAACACCATCTGCTGAAGAGACTGTTTTTTTCTCCATTGCAAATTCTTGCCTCTTTTGTCAAAGGTTAATTGACTGTAGATGTGTGGATTTATTTCTGAGCTCTCTATTCTATTCCATGGATCCATATGTCTGTCTGCACTAATACCATGCTGCTTTGACTACTATAGATTTATAGTACTGTCTGAAGTCTGGAAGGGCTATGCCTCCAACTTTGTTCTTTTTCCTCAAGATTGTTTTGGCAATTCTATATAAATTTTAGGATTATGTGTTCTAGTTCTGTGAAAAATACCATGGGTAATTTGATAGGGATTGCATTAAATCTGAAGATTGCTTTAGGTAGTATGGCCATTTTAACTATATTAATTCTTCCAATCCAAGAGCATGGGATATCTTCCCTTTTCTTTACATTATCACTGATTTCCTTTATCAGAGTTTTATAAACCTCAGCATATAGGTTAGGTATATTTCTAGATACATATTTTTTGATGTGATCTTAAACAGGATTTTTTCTAGCTTCTCTTTTCAATATTTAATAGTTGGTGTAAAGAAATGCAATAGACTTCTGTATATCAATCTTGTACCCTGCTACCTTGCTGAATTCATTTATCAGTTCTAATAGTTTTTGTGTGGAGTCTTTAAGGTTTTCTGTAAGAGTATCAAGAACAGAGGATATTCTTTAAATCAGTATGGTACAGAAAGATTACTGGATCACTAAGTTTTAGGATATGCTTTTAGAACAGGACTAAGTTTTTGCACATTTAAGACCTAGTGATTTTCATTTGTGTGTATGTGTGTGTGGCGAAGGAAGGTGTTTTAAAGGTTATTTGATTTTTAATTACCACGACTACATAAGTGTGTTCACTCTGTGAAAATCCACTGGGCTATATATTATGTTCACTTTTCTATTTTCCTTCAATATATGTAAATAAAAAAGATTTTAAAGAAATCAACCAAAATTAGTTTATACAATCTCCAATGCAATCATACATGACACACTTCTAAAGTTTAAGTCTTTTAAACTTAAGTGAAACTAAGACTGATATTCAAGGAATATATTTTTGAAACAACGGAGATTAGCTGTATTGTACATTCTGACTGTACCATAGAATCTGTCAGTATTGATAAACTTCATAATCAGAGAAAGAAGTCCTGCCTCCAACAGTCCAACAACTCAATGTCAAATAACATCTCTGCAACAATGCAAAAAATAAAATGTAGGAGTTAAATAGCAAATAATTCTTAATAATCATTTATACATAATCTCCCTCAAAAGTTGTGATAGAGCAAAAAAATCTCATAAGTGTTTGGGTATTATTTTAATAAAAGATGCTTTTGTAAAAGTTAAATTTTGGATGAATGCTTCAATATCCAAAATAAGGGAATCTACTTTTTGAGCTATATTAGTATCTGCTTCATTGTAATAAAGATCCACCCCTAATACCTTAGAGTAAAGCATATCTAAGGAGAAATGTTTAACTGTTCCACATTTTAAGTCAGTCGCACCTATGAGGAGTATGAATCTTAGTACTACTTGTGAGGAAAAAACACCTGTAAGATAAAAAATAAATGCTCAATTAGGTGGCATACCTTGGCATCCCAGTCTTTATTAAGATAATATATACATGTCACACATCTTCCATCTCCATTTGGATTATCGACATGACGTACGTAACCTGTTCCATTGCCAGGATAGCAAGCAACCATGGCCTGTAACAACAACAATAATAAATTTAAAAGTGTAACTACGAGTAAAAAGGGAAAACAGCTTATAACATAGATCTCTGATTTTTGGCTATTCTGACTTACATTTAAATTCTTTCTCTAATAAAAAATCATGTTTGTAGATAAGCAGTAAAGACCTTCTACAATGATGTGTATAAAAAACACAGGGTACGCTGGTGAACAATGCAAGGTCTGGAGAACTCTGTCTCACAGTGATGAGAAGAGCTGACATGGAAGGATCCAAGAGACCGCAGAAAGGCCTCTCTTTTGTGATCTTGATTCATGCTGATAATCAAAATCAAGTGGGCTTTGTTCTGCTCCATGGAAGATGGCCATTCTCCCTGAGCTCACCACAGAACACTTGTGCTACCATCCAATAGTCACAAACCGCCTCCAACACTGTCTCTGAGTGGAACCAATTTAGATCAATGCTGAACATTAATTCATTTAATATCAATGAGACTAAATGAAAAATTAGCATGTAATAAGCCCCTCTGTTAAGGAAACTGAGGCCCAGGAAGGTTAATGTTCTTAATGACACATGACAGGAGACCAAGTATGAATGTGGACAATCTGGCTTCAGAACCCAAGTCACTGACACTATACTATGTTATCCATGTAACATGACACTAGTATGTTATCCATATAACACACTGCTATACTCGTGTGTGTGTTGGGGGGCAGGGGGTGGACAGTAACAAAAGACTGCTAGTTGGCTACTGCAGTTTATTTCCAGGAGAGAAAAACGAAAATCAGGTTGACTAAGGTGGTAAGGTAGGAGGTATTCCGAAGGTAGAAAACCACCAGAGTTTGCTCACGGACTGAAGTGGAGAAAAAGGAGAGTGAAGGATGATTCTGCTGTTTTCAGCCTATGTAACTGAATGAATGAGTATTTACTAAAAAAAAAAAAAAAGACAAAAACAGAAATACTAAGTGAAAGAGTCAACACTATGCATGGGCACAAAAGGAGCTTCCCAGCAGTGGTCCCGATAAGCCAGGTATTCCAAGTAGAACAAAACTGAGACTCTGTGACTGTGCTTCAGAATGAGAAGTCTGTGTCAGTCACTTCTACACCATTTCCCTTTGGGGTTCCGTGGCAGTACCTAGGGGTGACTGATGGGGAGTCCACGGAAACGCTGTTGTTCAGTCGCTAAGTCATGTCCAAATCCCACCGGCCCATGAAATTACAAGAGGCCGCACAAACAGGTCTTGCCCCAACCTTCAACTGGGGTAGCATTTATCTGTTTCCACTGAATTCCAAGCGAGACTTTTGGAAAAGATAAAAGATGCAATAAAAGTTTTAACCAACTGTATTAATTAAATTTTACAATCCCTGAAGTAGCCCAGCTACCTCCACCTAAATGTATTATCTGAGGGGCCATTATCACTGGAGCCTTGTCTGGTGTTCCCTAGAGCCCTTTACCTCTGCCCTGGTGGTAGGGACACCACGGAGTGGAGAGAAAGGAAGGGGAAGGGAGTCAGTGCTACACAGGGCCTGCCCGCTGTCTGCTGACTCAACCTGTCTATAGGAGCCGTAGCAAAGGCAGCAGGACACTCTTACAACTGTATAGGGATAAGATGAGAAACCCTACCATAACCCAGCAAAGCAGAAGGCCTACTGATAATCAGAGCTAAATGCAGGTGGCTATAAAATGAGTAATGCATAAAAGAGAAAGCAGCAAGAGGATCCTACTCCCAGAAGACGGACAAGCACTTCTGTGCCTACAACTAGAGACTCTTTAAGAGAAGGGAAAACCAAGCACAGCCAGAAAGAGTGGATCATCTTGCAAAACCTGAGACCTGAAGGAGTCAAACTCCTAGAGGTTCCAGGGGAGGATAAATATTGCAGGAAACATGCAAAGATTTGGGAGGGTCGTGAATTCATTAAGTATCTGCATGGCCTAAACACGACACAGTGAAACTGCGCTGAGCAATTCATGCATGTCCTGAAACTCCTCCCCACTTGGATTCTAGAAAACATAAAAAGACATTTCTATAAAATCTCATGAAATCTAGAAGCCATTATGTTTAAAATAAGTATTCACATTTAAACAAAGTTATCCTTAGCTACAGTTTGGACTATCAAAATTTAAAGCTCCTTAAATGTTACACAGTGCTTACAGGTTTTAAATAACCTTTATGCTTTAAGTGTTAATTGGTAATTTTGTTTTCTAGGTATATTATATATATATATTTGTATAAAAAAGACTATTGCTATTCTTTTTTTTAATATACAGGTTCTTGTTCACAATACTTTTAATAAATTCAATTTATTTTCTCTTAACCTCTTGGTAAAACAATAACAACTCATTCCACACCTGATTTTACCTGCTTGAGACCATTATCAGTCTAGGAGTCATTCACAGTATTAAAAAGTATTATGAAACACCTGCCATGTCACAGTACAAGAAGGGTCAGTATGGTATGTCTGAAAGGGCTCAGCTGCAGAGAAAGAAAACACCAGGCACTTGCAAATCAACTGAGAAACTGAGCCGCGCAGGTAACAAACAGAAAAGGAATTCGGAAGAAAGGAATTATTCACGTGGGATAAAGTAAAAGGACAAGGCTCTGAACTACACACAACCTTGGCTCCACTTCGAGGGACAGGTGTGATCTGGAAAGGTAAAGTGATGAGAGAACGAACAGTATGGGCGTGGCAAACACAGGCGGCAACTCAGTCACAGTGGGGCGCTTCTACAGTGGTCTGCTTTGTCACTTAATAACCGACTAGGTAGGCAAAGTTAATTTGGCAGAAATAAGATGAAATCTTGAAAATTCAGCAGAGGAAGAAGGACATGAAGGGTAAGTAACAAGGAGCCACTGGGGTCCTTGTGTAGGGAGGGCTACAATGAAAGCTTTGAAGAAGGCAGTTTCCCTGTTCTAGGATTTACATGAAAGATTATGTAAGATAAAGGACATTGCTATGATCCGAATGTTTGCATCCCTGCATAGATTCACATGCTGAAACTCTTAAGCCCCAAAGATTTAGGAGGTGGAACCCTTGCAAGCTGCTGAGGTCATAAGCGGGGAGCCCTCATGAATGGATAAGTGCTCTTAAAAAGGGGCTCTGAGAGTAACCCTGACCCTTCCCCCCTGCAAGGACACAGCCAGAAGCGGCTATGAACCAGGAAAGGGGCTTCACCGGACCGTGGCGAGCATGGTCACTTGATCTTGAGCTGGCCAGCCTCTAGAACTGTAAGCAATACATTTCTGTGTTTATAAGCTACTCAGTCTGTGGTATTTTGCTATAGTAGCCCAGATGGATTAAGACATACCTATAAAGGATGAAATTGTTTCAAGAGGTTTACACTGTATGTAGTGGTCCTACGGATAAGGAAACTCACTGAAGTCTACCAAGTAAAACTGAACTATCTCTGGAGATTTGATGAGGACTGGAGTGATACTCCCTGGGTATTCTATCCTTTCTGAGGAGTAGCAGACATGACCTCACACTCCCATGAGGGCTGGGTTGGAAGACAGTGGAAAAGGCTCGACATTTGCCTGAAAAAGAAACAATGCAATTGCCTACTCTACCATTCTGAGGTACCTTCCTAATCTGACATGTCTTTGAGACACTAATTTTAAACATTTCAGTTTTTCGTTGGGAAAAGCCGATTTAAACATAAGCAAAACAATTAAATGCTATTTTTTCCCTTTTTGACATGAAAATATACATGATTGAAGATGTTCTCAGGATAAGAAAAACCATAAACTTGTTTTTTTACTCTAAGAATAAAAGGAAGGAAGAGGTTTGTGGTACCTCTCTGGAATCTGAAGACATTTATTTCTGGCATTGGAAGGCTTGTATTCAATATGAAGTTGAACAAGGAAACTTACTTTTTTCCTTCTTGAACTGAATTATTTTAAAACACTGATTCAAAGCTAAGAAAAGTAAAATGTTATGGCTAACAAAGTACTATTTTTTTACCCTGAATGTGAGGGAAAGCTTTACTATTTGAAAATTTATTCTATTAAAATATACTGTCCCAGGTCCACAGCCCTCTGCCTTTGCAGACACTGACAGTTAACGTTCAGTAAGCACTCACCATGAGCCAGGCAGGGATCATCTCATTCACTCCTCACAACAAATCTGTGAGGCAGGTCCAGTTAATCTCTTCATTTTGGAGATTAGAAAACCGAGCTATACTGAGGATGAACTCTTGCCAAGCACCACAGAGATGCCGAGTCTGGAGGGGAAACGGCCTCGTGCACGCCCTCTCGGACCCCGTCCCCAGTGCGGCTGTGCTCAGTCTGCCTGCAGAGCCGGGGGACCAGCGGCGGGCCCGAGGGACTCGCCGCCCGCGCGTGCGCGCCCGAGGGTCAGCCCTCCCGGGCGCTGCGGAAGACCTCCTCCAACCCTGCAGTGCCCTTCTGAAGGCTCTTCCTCCTCCACTCCCACAGCACAGCGACCCACCACGATCGCCGTCATTCGGGCTTATCTAACTCTAGCTCAAATATGGGAGGACACATAACATCAAAGAGCTAGACTAAAAACAAGTTGGTATCTACTATAACCTTCTTTCTTAAACTGCAGATTTCAATTATACTTGTTTAGGTAATCTCATTTCCTAAAAGATGTAACTAAAAACTTTATAGAATTATGAATTTTGTTCACTGTATTAATTAGCCTGTTAAACAGGGGTGATGAGGAAGGACAATCCATAGGTATTTAAAAATTTAAATCTGACTCATTTGCTAAACTTTACTGTTATAAATAACATGCAGTGTTAGTCACTCAGTTGTGTCCAACTCTTTGCAACTCCATGGATTGCAGCTGGCCAGGCTCCTCTATCCATGGAATTTTCCAGGCAAGAATACTGTAGTGGGTTGCCATTTCCTTCTCCAGGGGATCTTCCCCACCCAGGGATTGAACCTAGGTCTCCTGCATTGCAGGCAGATTCTCAAATTCTTTACCATCTGAGCCACCAGGGAAATCCCAGTTTATGAGATTTTTCGTATTTTTACTTGCTGTTTAATTCTTTTGTCAACTGCTTACTCACATCCTTTATTCACTTTCCTAATGGGTTATTTGAGCTTCCCTGGTAGCTCAATTGGTAAAGAATCTCCCTGCAGTGCAGGAGACCTGGGTTCGATCCCTGGGTTGGGAAGATCCCCTGGAGAAGGAAATGGCAACCCACTCCAGTATCCTTGCCTGGAAAATCTCATGACAGAGGAGCCTGGTGGGCTGCAGTCCATGGGGTCGC